TCAACCCTGAGCTGGTGAGATTTGAACCGCTGAACTGCTGATCTAGCAGTAGCCTGCAGTGCTGCATTTAACCACTGCGCCACCTTGGCTCTTAAAATGTTAAAAATGTTAAAAATGATAAAAATGTTTTTATCACTAGTGCATCTTTTTATAGGAAACATAGGCTTTTACACTGACTTGGAATTTCAAAAAAATAAACACAACAGTATTTAACTCTTGTAAATTTTATCAATTTTCATGGCAAAATCTTCACCACTCACCTGTACAAGTTCATTTAAAACAACTGCATCAAAACCTGATAGATATTGAACATAATATCTTTGCATCACTGGGCCATATTTTCGTACGTGTGCTCTAAGCTCTTCCATGTAGAAAATCAGTTCTGCTATGTGCCTGAAGGAACAGAATAACACAGGTGATTGACAAGTGGGGAAAAAAAACCGGTAATCTGAGTGGGTGGGAAAAGACCAACAAGCTCAGATGACTTTGCTTTTTCGCTATTAACGTAATGTTGTCACTGAGACAGAATTGTAAAGAGAAAAGAATTAAACCCTGTATCTTATGAAAAGATTACGTGGAAGTATCTTTTCATGCAAACGTAGGAGATGTGCAGGCAGAGCTGGTAGGGTGGCGTTAAATGAACCATCAACTTAGAGCCCTTGGGTTGGCACAAGAGATCGTCCAGCCCTCCCCCCCTCTGAATTCTGTTGATCTTTAGCACCAATTTAGTGTTGACTATTAGTTGACTAGGTTCTTGAGTATACATTTCACTGGTTCATTTATGCTGCAAACTTATAAATGGTCTTGATTTTTTGTGCCTGGCAGCGAACACTTTATTACTGAAAAAGCTGTATGTTTGTCCCAGCTAAGCCTATATAATTAAGAAGAAAAATATTAACAAGTACATTAAAAAGAAGTGGAGAGGGGACAAATAGAAGGGATGAATCATCTAGCATCATCACTTGTCCTCCAGATGAATGGGAAGGAAGAAGGGAGCCAAGGAGAGGGAGGTCCCCAGTGATGTTATGGTCTCTTGAGATGTAGGCCCTTTTCATGTGGCCTTTGGAAAACCCCTGTCTAGGATTTATTTCCTTCCAGTTTCAGATATAAAACGTGTGAAAACTGTATAATAAACCTCAAAAAGTAAAGGGCCCCACCCACAAAGAAAGGTGTGATGTGGTTCTATCCATTTGGAACCATTCAGCCTCTTAAAATGCTGCTCTTGAAAACTAAAAGGTTGCCCACTTCTGCTATAGAGAAAAGAAGGGAAGGGTTAAAATGTTCCTATTTTAACAACAGGACAAACAGAGATGGATGTCCAAAACAAAACCTCTATGATAAATAAGGCATTTACTGAACTACTGGCAATCTATTAAAAATGATGGCATACATCCAAGAGCATTGCAGGGACTATTCCCATACAAGGAGTCTTCCCTTTTGAGAGAAGCAATTCTACTGGAAAATATCCTGTCATCAGTGGATAGATCCATAAGGTTCTATCACAGTGTTTTTCAACCTTTTTTGTGCAAAGGCACACTTTTTTCATGAAAAAAATCACGAGGCACACCACCATTAGAAAATGTTNGGGTCCTCATTTTACCCACCTCGGAAGGATGGAAGGCTGAGTCAACCCTGAGCCAGTGAGATTTGAACCGCTGGCCTGCTGATCTAGCAGTAGCCTGCAGTGCTGCTTTTAACCACTGCGCCACCTTGGCTCTCTGAACATTGGCTCTCTGAACATCCAGTTCATGGGCCGCGAGTTTGATACCCCTGACCTAATGGAACATACACACAGAAGATTTCAAAGTAGTATTGTTCATGACAGCCAAAGGTAAAGATTTAAAACAGTTGATCGGACTTACTTGGTAAAACGAATTTCCAAGTGAGATGTTAAATACTCCCTTGGGGTAAAGGTGTGTTCCCATACGATCATGTTTGGAACGTAATTGATAGAAAAGCAGAGTTCAGAAAGTGCTGTGTGCAATTTGTCCAGGCTTGAGGAGGTGAAAAGAAAAAAATATATACAAGTCACATACTGTAAGATAAAACTACATAAATCTAAATGTAAATCTACATAAATCCCAATCTGAATAAAAAGATATAAATAAGAGGGAGGACATATATGCTATTAGAATGCAATTATATAATTCTTTCAGAGTGGTTAAGGCATCAGGCTAGAAACAGGGAAACTATGAGCCCCAGTCTTGCCTTAGGCACAAAACCAGCGGAGTGATCTTCAACCAGTCCCTTTCTCTCAGCTTTAGCAAGGAGGCAAAGTATTTCTAAAAAAGCTTGCCAAGAAAACTGCAGGGACTTTTCCAGGCAGTCTGAAAGAATCAGATGTAACTGAACAGAAGGAAAAAGATATTTTTATATTAAGACAAATAGCACAGGGATAAAAGAGATACAATTGGTTTGTTCTATCTTGTGTTGAATGGGAAGGAGAAGGTTAAAATACAGAAACAGGTGTTTGTTGTGCAGATCCAGTATTGGTTAGAGTAGCCCTCAAACACACATGAATTCACCATAAGCAAATTTGAGTATCCTTGGCAAATGTGGTTTGCATTCCAATTTGCCTTGCATGGCTCCAATATAGTGGAGTTGAGAAGAACAGTATTATGATTGTTCTTCTCAAAAGAGGTGGAAGGAGATCAACCACATGGGCTGATCTTGTCCTTTCTCAGCCATCATCTGATGAAAGTAGAAGTCTCCACTGCATCCAAGGTAAAAATTTAATACTAAAACAGAAGACATGGCAGACCAAGATATTGTTGCTTGCGTCTCATCAGAATGTGAGGACATGAAGCACAGTGATTCTTACACAGATTGTAGAATGCTGTTACTATTTCCTTGATCTGTACTGTATGCCAGGGGCCTCCAACCCATTAGGCCCATTAGAAACCGGGCAGTGGAGGTAGTGGGTGTATGTGTGCGAACATGTGTGAAGCTACAATTTTGAAAGTGGCACACAGGCATCACACAAAACCATCCTCTCTTCCCCGCTCGCGCCAGTCCACTGAACTGGAAAGGTTGGAGGCCACTGCTATATGCCAAGGAAGGTTTTTAAGCAGGATTCTCATTGATAAGGTCTAAGAGGTGACAAACTAAATTTGGAACATCCTGTTAAGTTTAACTGAGTGGGGAGCACGCAGACCAATTAGTGCTCTGTAGCAGTAATTGAGGTAAATATGAGAAGCATTTCCTTTGTTGATTCAGAGAAAACATTTGATAAAGTGAATAGAACTGAATTCTGGAATATTTTCTGCAAATATGCAATTGAAAATTGGCTAATTAATGTCGTAACACTAGTATATGACAGAAGAACATGCAAGAGAGTGGAATGTTTAGCAAATGATTCAACACAAAACGGGGGAGAAAGACAAAGATGTGAAATGTTCCCTGGTTTTTAAATATATTTGCGAAGGTGTTTATCATGATGATGTTATAGATTATGTTGGTTGGCATCATGAATGTCCACATGCTTTTGTAAAACAAAATAGAGTCCCGAATGATGCAGAGAATGGCAGGCAGTAAGTATATGGTGTAAATTAAAGCATGGGCCTGAAAATTAAACTATCAAATCAAGTTATTAAACACCAAGGTAAGTGATAAATGATTATAGACTGAATATAAATGTACATGATCAGTGGAAAAAAAAGAGAGCAATGCTGTGATGGTTTGGTCATATATAAAAGGATAGTGCCTGATTCGAGAGAAAGTGGATGGGCTATTCTTACCTCTCCTCTAAGAAAGGTGGGGTTGATGGAGTTGATTATATTCTCAAAAAGGAAGGAGTGAATAGGGAATAAAATCATATGTGATGTGGTAGAAACAAGGATGGCTTCAAGGATAGAAAGCTATGGGGAGGTATAGTGAATGGTACGATTGCAAAATATATTTAGCTGTATTTCCTCTCCTTTCTCTTATCTTGTGCTTTTAAGTAGTTTAACTATTCCTCCCTCCTTTTTTGCCTTTTGCACAGCACTACTTAGCCCGAAAGGGAAGAGCACGATATTTATGTGTGTATATAAAAGACAGAAGAAAAGTTAAGGCAAATATCTACTTAAATATAAATAATCTCAGAATTACTCACTTGGTCACTACCAGCCTATTTTTTCTCATGCTTTCTACGCCTGGTTTTTCTCTTTCTGGTTCTCCTTTCTTACCCGTCTGTTTCTTTGACTTTTTGTTCACTGCTTGGCTAATGGTTTTGGCACAATGTTTTGGCAGTAACTTAAAAAAGGAGAGGAAAAAAAAATTCAAAACAGGTTACAATTTTTTTAAAAAAAACACCTAATTTCATTTGCAATACTGCACTTTGGATCTTCAGTATCATTTTGCCTCTGAGGATTTGAGTAAGACTGTCCCATTTCCAGGATTTTACCCACTTGCAATGCAGTAGTGACAACATTTAAAATTGAAAAAATGATTTTATTCTAATTTCTGTTTATTCCAATTATGAAAGGCTCTGTTTGAAATAGACTGGGTTATTATGAAAAAGACTTCATTAGGAATTTAAATATTATATTATGTAACAATACATAAATTGCTGGGATTGTCTGCCCATCTATCCATCCAATTTTATGTCTCCCCCACTTTAGCCAAGTCGACTTTGAGCAGTTAACAAGGGTGAAAATGTTACAATATGGAACATGATAAACTCAAATATCATATAGTAAAACACATTAAACTGGGGAGTAGGCATGCACCCTTTATTATTCCAGGAGGTTTATCATCCTGGCTCATATCAGAACTAAGGTTTCAGATCTTATCCGATGGGCAGTTACCATATTTTTCGGAGTATAAGATGCTCTAAAGTATAAGACACATCTTAGTTTTTGGGGAGGAAAATAAGAGAAAAAAATTCTGTCTCTCCCTACCAGCATCCATGGTATTCAACTGGCTAGCGTCCTGTCAGTGTGTGAGAGAGTTGAGAGCTGTTTGGAAACAAACAGTATTTGCTGTATGAGCAACAAGGAAGGAGACAGCAAGGAGCCAGGACGTAGCTTGTTCTGTACAAAACTGCATGCTGTGCTGATATCTGAAACTAAAACTGAAACTTCTCTCCTCTGCTGAACTACCACATTCGAAAATCTGCTTTTGGTATTGAATATTTACTTAATGTGTTATATTATATATAAAGAGAAGTTATTGAATCCTACTGAATCAGTTACTTGTGTGTGCTTTCTGAATGCGATTGCTGCTGTAAACTCTGATACGTCCCTGCAGCAAATAGCGAACAGCCAAGTCAGCTTCTGCACATTATTGCAGCCTGATTCAGCATAAGCAGCTGATTGGCGGGTAGATTAGCCTCCTGGAATACCCCCAATCAGCTGTCCCAGGCTGCAGGGGTTGCCACAGACTATCACCTCCTCTGTGTGTTGCGTTTTTGCCTACATTCGGTGTATAAGACGCACCCAAATATTCACCCTCTTTTTTTTGGGGGGGGGGAGTGCATCTTATACTCCGAAAATTGGAGATGATCTCACAAATATTCAAGTTTTTTCTTACTTTATATATTTTTCATTTTATATAGGTGACATTTCACATAGAGTGGAGGAAAAAAACAGGTTTGTGCCCAAAGGTCTTTTCAATGTGAGTGGGGGACAAGGTAAACTATGGAAGACAAAGGTTACAGGCAGGGATAAACAAAGAATGTATAATTATTGCATAGTACCAAGTTTCATTTAGTTACAGTACAAAAATAACAAGATTTAATTCTCACCTGGTCACTTAGGGTACATTGCTCTGTACAAATATCTGTGATAAGATTCCGAGCCTGCTTAGCCATTTCATCCAAAAACATGTTACACAAGGAGAGACTGCGATCACCAATGTGGTGTCTCTATCAAGATAGATAAATCAATTCTCAATTTTTCTATTCTTTTAAAATTAGGAGATCATTAATCCTCATTGAAAATAGCTTTTAAAATTTATTTGAACTAACATCACAGCAAATAGTCTTAATCTTTATAGTTTAGTCACTACATTAAAATATTCGGTTATACACACTGAGCAAAAGGATATAAATCTAATGAATAAAAAAATATATTGAGTACACATGGCTAGACCTCCTTCAAAAGTATTAACATTGAAGAGATGACATGCATTCTTACTATACCTAGCTAATCTCTTTCCACCCCAGAAATATGCAAACCAGAGATGGGATTCTACCGGTTTGGACCGGTTCAGGCGAACTGGTAGCTCCGATGATCAGCTGGGAGCGAACCAGTTCTCCCCAATGATCTGATGGGCCCACCCACCCGCGCTAATTTCCTACCGTTATCTTCTCAGCTGATTCGCGCAGCAGAGCAAATTGCTGCGTGAATCAGCTGTGTTACTTCTTCGAAGAAACCCGGAAGTGAAGATTTCTTCAAACTGCACATGCACACGCAAATCGCGTGATCACCAAACTGGGAGGATCCCACCACTGATGTGAACAAATATGAATTATTTTATACCACACATTTTTAAAAATCCTTAACTTAGAAGGAATGAAACTAATCAGCTAAGAATTATCTGTCTCTTTTGAAATCTTGCTGAGTTGGGGACGAGACAGAAATGCATTCCTTACTTTCTGACATATTACCTCTAAACCAATTTCCCCCCCTTTCTTCAACATTGCCACAAGAAGACTGTCAGGTTGATCTGATAGGAACCACGTCTTTCTACCTGAACCCGTCTTTGTATCATGTATCAGGTTATGTTCCATGTATTTTAAGTTTCCGCTGTCCAAAGGGTCACTTATAGAGATGTAAATGTTTTAATAAACTAGTTGGCACATTTGAACACTGATTTAAATTTTAATGTATTTATCTATATGTGTGTATTAATGAATTCATACCCATCCCTCTCTGTTTTTTTATTTGTCAAGAATGGAGGAATTTCTAATACCACAGACAATTTTTTGAACTGCGTTCAACCAGATTCATTGTGGCTGATGAAGCAGACACCCTAATCTAGTCTTGCCTTTATATACATAAAAACAGTATGATCCTCCAGCTTCTCTTTCTATTTATGCAAGGGATACTTTAAGTCACAGTATTACCTCTTCTGGGCACAGTTCATGGGTACAGCTCATAAAGTGAGTGCAAAGCAGCGGAAATGCAATTGAATATCTGGACTGGGAGGGCAATTCCAAGCACTGCTGAAACATCTTCTCAAAAGCGCGACTGTAAAAACTGTTCAGAATTATGATTCATTTTCATTTTACTTGTAAAAAAGTGTTTTATATCAATAAACAGTATAAAACATGCTACAAAGTGCATACATTTAAAATACCAGAAATAATATCCTATATTCTGTTTATCTAAAGACTGAAACACGATATAACATGAGAGCTTCACAAATTATTCTAAGCAGGGGGTTGGTCTAGAAGACCTTCAAGATCCCTTCCAACTCTGTTGTTCTGTTCTATTCTATTCTATTCTATTCTATTCTATCCTTTCCTATCCTATTAAAATTAGAGGAATAAGTATATTTAGAGCAATAATAAATTGCAACAGAATCAATCTCCAGTTCAAATGTTTCTGAAATAAATAAGTCATCATGGTTGTCTTGAAAGAAGAAAAAGAGCAGAACAATCTTTTAAAAATTCACCCCAGTGTCAACTGCAGAGGAATGTTTCTAAATGGATTTTGATTATGAAACATAAAAGCAAAATAATGAAAAAGGGTATATCTGTGTCTTGTTGCCTGTTTGGTATAGTGGTTATAAGGCACCAGTCTAGAAATGGGGACACTTGAGTGTTATTCCTGACTTAGGCACAAAGTCAGCTGGAAGACCTTAAGTCTGTCACTCTCACTCAGCCCTATAACACATCCACTTTTTAAAAATGCTGCCAAGAAAACTGCAAAGGGCAGTTTCCAGGAGTCAAAACTGATTGGATGGCACACACACACTCTTTTTTTGTTGCTGCATTCCACTACCAATTGTCAAACAGATGAATGGCATGGCTGGCAGCAATGATCCAACTCTACACCCATTGCTAGCCTACTTGTCTTTGGTAACATCCCCCTTATGGCCTTCACACAAGATATATTTCTTCCCACCTCAGGTATGCTACTATCAGCAAGTATATAAGCAATAGCATGGCAGAGAGGCTAGTTCAGTGAGGCGAACCTTTTCAGCACCGAGTGCCCAAACCGGAACATGTGTGCATGCATGTGCCGGCCAGCTGGTCTTTGGGTTTCCGGCATGCACGCCGGCCAGCTAGTCTGTGCATGCTGGGACCAGGTGGCCGGCACGCGCATGCCCCCAAAACAGTCCTAAAAACAGCCTGGGTTTTGGCTGTTTTTCAGCGCTCTGGTGCTCACGAAGACCAGTGCGCCAGAAACCAGATGAGCAGCTGGTGATGACACATGTGCCCAGAGAGGGCTCTGCATGCCACCTCTGGCACACATGCCATAGGTTCGCCATCAAGGGGCTAGGTGAACCAAATTGTATCAGATTAAACTGATACAATTTAATAAAACCAGTAGCTGTATTCCTACTCTTTTGTCAGTATCAAAGGACTAATATCCAGATTTAAATGGTTTCCAATCTCTGAATCAAAGTAGCTCATAATATGTACTAATACGTGCATTCTGTAACATCTATTCAAAATTGTTCTATTGAATTAAGTGGGTCCTACACAAGAACAAATTGCAATTTAGTAGCAAGAATGCAATCTAACCATTTTAACAGCAAACATTTTACAGTATTTCATAATTTGTACTTTTTCTTTAGACAAATATTAAAAGTTCAGAAGTAAATGAAATTTGACGTACCAAAATATAGAAAGATCTGATGTTTCAACCAACATTTCAACCAAAGAGTCTACCATTTTTGTGTGGAAAATTATTGTATTCATCATCTTTCCAAGTTCTCTGTGGTCAGCAAGACTAAGTGAAGCCTTGGACACACTAGTATAAGCCTGTAAATATAAAACAACACAAGGAAAATAAACAAAAGAGGAATCCCAGGCTAAGATCTATTCCTCTGAGAGAATCTGTCACCATTTATATGGAAGTATTTATGTAATAAAACTGAATGAAAAATAAAACAAAATATGCTTTTCTTATATTTTCCTTAACTTGGGACAGGTCACCTTAATCAATCACCATTTGGAAAATTTCAAAATTAACAACGTTTTGTGCATAAACAATCTATTTTTTCCAATGGTAATTACAAATAAGTAAATTGATAAGAGTCATTTGAGAACCTAGGAAGACTATTTTTGCTGTTACTTATTTATCAGCTCAATCCAGAATTATGGAAGCTACTTATTTTCCTTATAAATCATTTATTGCTTCAATATTTTTATAAAGCTGAGTGGGATGAAAGACAAATCAGATCAAAATAATAATGTGCCAATTAGCAATTAAATAAATGTTACTTAAAACAGTACGTTAAAAAATTCTAGGTTTGTTTACAGCCAAAAACTTAAGTCCAAATGCAGAATTCAATTTTTAAGCATATTATCCTGCAGTATTTGAAAAAGATATCCAACGTTATATAAAAAGACTAGTATGTTCTTCTAAATCTTGTTCTTTGAACAACTGAGGAAAACCAGACTTACACATTATCTCAAAAGCAACTTACAAGAAAAACTGATTTGGGTTTAACAATGGGATCTTTCTACAAGGATACACTGGGGTACGTGCAATAAATTCATCAAGAACAAGCCACAAAGACTCTCTAAAGTGATTTGGCTATACAACTGTTATTACAGATCTCTATTTGTAACACTTTATTTTACATTTCTTCAAATAACCTGGTGTTACCCCATCCTTTTGCTTTAAACAAGGGCCACGTCTAAGTGAGTAATTATGCTTATTTTATGAAAAGGCTTGTTCTCCAGATTAAGATGACTATGCATTTTAGAGCTTCTAGAAAATATAATGCCAAAAATAGAAATAGCACATAGACTTATATACCACTCCATAGGGCTTTACAGCCCTCTCTAAGAGTTTTACAGAGTCAGCATATTGCCCCCAACAATCTGTGTCCTCATTTTACCCACCTTGAAGGATGGAAGGCTGACTCAACTTTGAGCCACTCAGAATTGAACTCCTACAGTTCTGCATTCTAACCACTGTGCCATCACGGCTCACATATTCAATACTCCAAAGATTGACATAGTGATTTGTAGATGGTTAGACAAGTGACACTAGCTTGCCTCTTTATGTGAACATAAATAAATGGTTCATATACTTATCCAAACAACTGCTTCTTCTGCCCAGATACAGCTAGAAGAAGCAATCACAAATTGGAAGCAGTTCTGTCAATTGACCAGTTTCTACAAGGCCTTGCCAGAATAGCTTGTATTTTCACTGAAACTGTCACACAGAATCAGTGTTTGATTTAACAGCATCCTACTTCCTGACACCGAAGCAGCTTTTTCTTTTTCTTTTAAAAAAACAACCTAATTTGAACATTGCTTTTAAAACCCGTGCAGGATATTGGACTGCCATGAGCTCTTTCCAACATGTACAATAAGAATGAATGAAATCATATAGGAAGTTATGCCAGCACAAATCAATGTAATGCCATCTAACACCTATAAATATAGGAAAACTGCAACAGATAGAGAAAAATAACATTTGCTTGCTTGTCAGCAACAAATTATTGCCTAAGATTAACAAAAGGCCTTTTTGTTTTAAAGGCATGAGTTATTGTAATATAAAACATGTCCTATGATTATGAGATGGGAGATGATTAATTAATCAAGGACACATTGATTTGTTTCACCATAAAAGACATGGAACAAAGTATACAAATGTCCATTAAAATCTGGGCATATTTCACCTTTAAACCGAGGTATAATTGGTTGAATCAGATCAACGTTGCATGTTGTATTATAGTTTTTTTTATTTTTTAAAGGAATATACTTAAAAATTAACAACTCAAAATCAATGGAATCTTTGAGAAACTACCCTTCCTATCACCAGGCAGTGTCCATGTAGGCAATCTTAGGTTTTTATATTTTGTTCTCTAACCATATGAATGGTATAGTATGTTTTATCCTCACATTATGAATATTTATGATTATATGAAACAATAAAGTAGACAACTTCTAAAAACATCTCTATTTAGGAATTATCAGTTCTATTGTAAAAAATCTATATCTAGGCCTGTTAATGTTAATTTGGATATTATTTTGTTCCAAATAACCAAACACAGATGGCCATATGCAAATTATTCCATTTACCATCCATGCACGAGAACATATAGCAAATATACTTTCTGCTAGCAGAGCAAGATGGCAGCTTTAATCATTTAAGTTCATTTATTATTATTCAGTAAATTCACTTATGCTCAGGAAATATAGATCTAAAAATATGAAATCAAATACTTAAAAATTATTAGTTTAGTTGAAAATGATCTAGAATCTAGAGCAGAAAACAAGCAAAATACTTTAGAATACAAGAAGATAATTCTTACCTGTAATCTAAACCAATCAAGCCTCATTCCTCTGAAGTCAAATACCTCTCCATCTTCAACTGCAGCATAGAAGGAAATGAAAAATCAACTCTGTAACACACTATTAATGCACAATCTTAAAATGTTGCATTTAATATCAGAATTTTTGCTGATTATTTTTAATCCTATGCAAAATGTGTTGGGTGGGGGGAGAGAATTGTTCAAATACACTTATTGTTCAAAATTGTTCAAAGACACCTAATTACTTGGTTAAAACAGCTGCATGAAACAGATATTCTCTATATATTTGTATGTACAACACTGTTCAGAATGATAGAAGGCAGGAATCAGCACTTTCAAGCAAGAATACTTTCACTGTTATAGATGCCCCTGAATAAATAAAAAGATTAGATATACTAAAGGTTGCAACCTCACAATGTCATTTGTAAATATTAAGATCTTTCGAGATCTGGACATCTCAAAAGATTTCTACTCTTCTGCCACTCCCTACTGTAAGAGTAGCTTTTAATGAGGAATGAAGATTATGGAACTCACCTAAACCATATTCCTTTTAAATCCTTTAATTTCATTCTCCCTCCCTCCCTCCCTCCCTNCTCTAAGCGGTTTACAGAGAGTCAGCATATTGCCCCCAACAATCTGGGTCCTCATTTTACCCACCTCGGAAGGATGGAAGGCTGAGTCAACCCCTCAAAAAATATGGTTAATGCTATGAATATATTGGGGCAGAGACTAGAACAACTATTCTGTTCTCTCAACAATTTCTTACACATTGATACTATGACATCACAGTAAAGGACATTAATTGCAAGCACATCAGTTAAATTTAAACTTACAAATTATCCATTTTTCCATTGTATCCAGAGAGAGATATTCACATGGCATCTGTTTAGAAAGGAAATTTTAATCATCAGTGGAAAACAGCAATCTAGTTAATGTAAGATTCATTTTCACCTAACATCTAGTTACATTTTAAAGAAAAACATTATTTCTGGAAAATATAATGTACAGACATTTCAGGATTATAAAGTTTATTTTAATATAGATTAAGTTTATTTTTTAATATAGATTAAGTTTATTTTTAATATAGATTTATTTTTTAATATAGATTAAGCTAAAATGGCTTAATCTATATTTTGCTTTAAATGTAATGACTGTTACAATTCCTTAGTTTTGGACTGGTATGATCAAAATATAGTATCAGGACAGTTTAGCTATAATTCTACAAGGCAGTGGGAAGGGAGGAAGATAGTTTAATAGAAGCACACGTTATGATCTAACAATTACATATAAATACACTGAAAGTCTCCTGAGGTAGAATTGTGAAGACCTTTAATAATTTCTATTCATTTTGAGTTCAGAGACATACTTTCTAACCTGTATTTAAGGATGAGCTAACTCTTCTTTGTGATGATTCTCTTGAGTGCCCCTTGGGAGAATATAATGACTTAATCACCACAATTTTGCCAACTGCGATAGCCCCAGACTAATTCTAATGGATTAGTGCTGTGTGCAGCGAAGCATAACTAAATATACTTATTGCATACATAAACACAGCATGTAGGATATGTGGAATGAAAAAAATTAAGCAAGCACTATTTATGGCCTAACAATTTTGTTATTTACTTTGATTCTGTAATTTAATTTTTTAACATCCATAACAGAGGAATTGCAATTCTACGCTTAATGGCCCAAATGTAATTTGACTTGCAATAAATAAAGAGAATTAGAGATAGAAGCATGTATGAGGAAAGCCATCTTAATACGGTACTTGCCATTATGATAAGGTTGAATAAAATTCATTCATGATGTAAAAATGTAATGGGAATAGACCTCCCCCTCTCATAATAATACAACACAGAGATCCTCTATTAAACTTGAACAGAGACATTCAAAAATAATTCTCATTTACCTAATGATTGCTAAAATATGAAAAATTCACTGCCATCTGTCGCAAAGGTGATATTCCAAAAGACAATTGGATGTTCCTCATATTTTTAAAAAAATCACATCTCATCCAAGAAGCTTCTTCAGTTCTTGGATGAGAAGCAACATGTTTTTTTTTAAAAAAAACATGCACCAAGAAAGTACAGTTGCCTTTTGGAAAAGCACCTTTGGGGCAACCAGGACATGACTCTTCATAAACATTCACTGGCATCTGATTTGGTGATATTCACTAATTTACATGGTTTTAAAAAGGGATTGCTCAAATTATTTGAGGGCAGGGTTATACATGCCAACTAATGTCGATAGCAGAATCTGATAGGTACAGATACATCCTGACAGTAGAAGGAAATTTTCTCTCCAATGGTCCATTTGGAGGCCTTCAGAATGCTTCTGGTTGGCCTCAATATTTGAATAGACAGTCTTTCAGTTGGTCAGTAGATTGCTTTTTAATTTACATATGGGAAAAATCCACTAACGTAGAAAATTAATTCATGTACACAACTTGGCATTAATAATTTGTTTGTTTAGATTTTGTCCCCTTTTACCACTTTATCGCTTTTGGGGCAGCTGAATATTCCTAGACACCAGACCACTATATTAACTGCGTTAATATAAAATACCATATTTTTCAAACTATAAGACGCACCGGTGTATAAGACACACCAAGATTTCGAAGAGGTAAGTAAGGAAAAAAGTTTTTGCCTTCCCTCAACCCCCAGCAACACTGCAGGCTTCAGCAGGGCTGGGGGAAGGCAAAAAAAAAAAAAAAAAAAAAA